GTGAGTACTAGTTCGGCCAGACAGAGTAGTGTTTCAGAGCTAGGTTCCTTAACAGTGCGTTGATCGAAAAAAAGTTTAAGGGCCCGGAGACCTTCGTCATTGGGAATGACAGTGTAAAGAGATGTTATATCCATCGTGAAAATAAGTTTGTTTTGGTCGAGGAAACTAAAGTCACGAAAAATTTCAAGTGCGTGTTGGCTGTCCTTAATGTAAGACGGTAAAGTTTTGACGATAGGTGCCATAATTTTGTCTAAATAGCTGGAAATAAGTTGGGTGGGACAACTGCAGGCAGAAACGATGGGTCGACCTGGGTTGTTAGGTTTGTGGATTTTAGGTAAAAAGTAAATACACGAAGTTCTAGGAGTGGTAATGATGAGATTTTAACACAACACTTATCGGAAAAAATGATAATTCCCATCCGAAAGAGGTTGTGTCTCTAAAAACGCTAGAACAGTGATAGAACAGCAATAATGGCATCACGTACTTTAAATTAAAATTAAATCGTTTCGTTATCTCATTGACATTAGACGAGCCCTGTAAATTGAGAAAGAGATGAAGTACCTTTTTTGCAACACCACACATTAGAAGCGGAGCTCTCATAGGAGGAAGGTCACCGACTAAAATCACTACAGGAACATGAGAAATGTCGACAAAGAGCGGATGATCGGTAGATAAACCCACAATAAGTTATGGAAACCGCACTCATTAGAGCACAGGAAAACATGCGCAGTGCGGTAACTCAAACGACCTAATAAAGCAGTTTTGGTTTAATCATGCCTTTCATAGTATGGACACGCGATCGTTTGTTTGTTTGTTTGTTTTTGTAAGCGCCACCGCGTACCCCCCGTGTGAGGTCTGGAACGAATAATAAAGCTTTGAGTTGAGAGCACATGGAAAATGTCTGAAGTGTGTTTTTAAACCGGGACCCTGATATAATTTCCCACGCCTAGGAATCTCCACAGCATATTCTCTTGAAGTTCAATTCAATTTCGTTTTTTTCACAAGTTTGGTCACATTAGAATCCAGTTTACATTTTTCACTGAGGTCAATCCAGAATTTGGATCCCACAATGAAGCCGAGCTACCCATCAGGTTCATATTTACTATTCCTCATCAAAGGCCAGGTGATGTCTTTGTGAAGCTGATATGCGCACTCTGCTTCTACATGGATCATCAATAGAACTAACTTGTCAACTTCTTAACTATTATTGATAGTTCTCAATTCAGCTTGTTCTCATCACCGACAAGAGTGTCGTCATTTGCGTCCTCCTGATTGCCTTGTAATGCCTCTTCGTGGAACTCAATCGTGTTTCAAGTTGAGGATCATTTTCGCATAATGAAGATATGAATATCTTTTCGTCAAAAACACCTTTGGTCATCTGTTCATTTTCCGCAGAAAAATGATCAGTCCCAGGTTTTCCTTCTCAGGTGGTCACTTTACATTCATCTTTCACATTTGCGTCGGAGGATTTTGTTTCTCGAGAAAGTCTATTGTGACGCTCTTCAGAGTGGTATTTGTTTTCAATTGCTGTTTGTTTAGCGTTTGAGTTTATATTGCCTCTCCTGTTGTTTTAGAGGCTTCACTTCCTATTAGTCATAAAAACCAAGGTTATTATCTATCATAGACAACACTAGTCACCGATGACTCGCGTGAATTATCATTTGCGTGTTGTAGCCGCCATCATGATATTGTTTTGCTTCAGTCACCCTGAGCAACCAATCCCAAAATATACAGTTTGCTGCGTTATCGACACAGCTGCGACAGCGGAGACACAGCGGTCAAACGTTTGCGCATGTGCAACGTTGTAATGATCATTAGCAACGAAATGGAACGAACGCACCTTATCCACCGAGCAAGTGCACTCATTTTGCTGCTGTGTTGGTGTGTCGATTAACGATCATGGTTGACGCTCTTTTAGGAATCAAGCGGTCTCAAACGAGTTACCATCAACCACACAAGCCAATAATTCATGGTGTTTTAAAAGCGTATAACCTTTTTCGGTGAGCTCAAAACAGAATGGTAAATCAACAAGATTGCCCGTACTTGAATAAGTTACATGTTCGAGAAGTCTCGAGATTTACTTTTCCCTAGACTACATCAAGACTACATCAAGAAGGTAGAACTATTTTCGTACCTGACCAGCTTCTAATGGAAGTAAAATAAAGCTGTCAACCTTCGAGCATACTGCCAGAATATAAATGACCTCGCAATTATTATGGATTTTTTCTTTCTACTTCCACAGCATAAAGCTATTAAGTGAAGTCCTACTGCTGTTCCTCAACTGCTTACAGTGGCTGTTATTGAAAAAGGCTTGTTTACAGGTGAGATATAAAGGCAACAGGGCATGCAGTATATGAAGACCATATCTTTCTTCTGATTTTGAATTATCTAGAGTAGCTGTTTTTCCCACGTTCAAAAAGATGTGCAACCCGTGCGAAGAATTTAAGGATCGTTTCGAATGCTTCGATTATCTGGATAAACTTTTTCAGCCCATTTTAATTTGCTTCTCTCGGTTTCGTTTTACAGTCAGTTCAATTCAATAATTCCCTGCTGCAAGAGTCAAGAATACATCCAGAACATTAAACGTTTTAACCTTCTACAAAAGTTAAGTAGATATAAAAAGGGGATTCTGATACATTTTGAAAACAAAGTTGATTTCAAAGCAACTCATAAATTTACACAGGAGAATAATATTTACTATGTCTCACTCGTGAGTTCTGAAGAGGGGTGTGAATATTATCAAAAAGTTTCTGACGCGTGAGAATTTTTTCAAATTTATTTTCTTTAAACTGTTTTTGACTCGTCAGAAACATTAATGTTTTAAATTTGTATTCTTGTTATTGACGCGTCAGAAATTGTTCAAATTTACTCTCTTTAACTTGTTTCTGACACGTCAGAAACCCGGACCGGAAATGATTGCTTAACTAGCTACACATTGGTATGCCGGCGTGGTATACCGTTCTATCTTTAAATCAAATTGGATCAGTCCATTGACGTCACCCAGCTAGCAACAACAGCAACAATGTCAGTAAAAACAACAACAAGAACGTACTGTTTTGGACTAATAGGTTGCCACCCAACATGCAGTACCGCTTGTTTTTGTTGTACCAAATTCCAAACTAAATTCATCCATTAAGCAACTATTACAGAAGACGCTGTCATCTGAGTAGTACTGCAACGCTCCATCGCCCTAAAAAACACCTTGTGAGTATTTTGGGCAAATTTCTTCTGTGATTTTTCCTTGGCCATACTTTCGCTTTAATTCCTCGGAAATGGCTAGTTAAGGATTCTGAGAAGCCATTGGTTCCAGGCTATGATAATAAAGCTCAGCTTCATGGCCAAGTAAGCCAAGTACGCTGATTTAAAATATCCTGGTCAAAAATAGTGTGCCTATTCTGCAACGCTCGAGCCCGTTTGAAACGATTAAGTTTCAATTTAAGGTACCTGGTGCCATTATCGCTTTTCTATCGCTGTTCTAACGTTGTTAGAGACACCAGGCAACTTTGAAACATAGTAGCCGTGTCTGTTTCGGATCGACCGCCATTAAGTCGTCGAAATACATGTTTTTGAAATTTTCCATTAAAATTATATGCGCTATGCCTTTTTTGGATGGGAATTAACATTTTTTCTGATAAATGTTGCTCTTACATCATCATTTAGGAGAGCAAAGGATTTTGTTTAATCTTGCTTCATTAATTATATGCATTTTTGCCCTTAAATTTGTATTACCTGATTATAGAACATTGATTTTCAACATAAATTCCATTTAGTTCTCGTTCATTGCTCTTGTTCAGATTTGTCTTGTTCAGTGCGCAAGGTTAATGGGTCTGACAAGTCATGTTATTTTAATTAGAGAGTCCAGAATTCTTCTATTTATCAGTGAGGATATATTTTCAACTGGACACTATGTTTGATATTCTGGAATTTGTAGACGAGTGGAAAAATTAGTAGAGTAGTTTCAGCTTGGACAGCAAGCGATATATATTGTGATGTAACAAGCAGCAACTTGGGATAAGAGCATGTTAGATTAGGAGCAGGCTCTCAAGCGTTCAGCACGTGCGTCGAGCATGCGCACTGCTGGGCGCACGTTTTTACGCCCGTGACAGCGTAAAAGGAACATTTTGAATTCATGATTAATTTTTTCTATCACTTCTGTTCAACAGCAATGTAGTGTTTTTACCGATGAAAGGTTTGTTTTTGTGGTAATGATAGTTTTGTTTTTCTACTCTCGTCGACTGGTAAACAATAAGTAGAAAAGCATAAATATACTCCTTTGAAACTGTCATGTAACACACACCGGCAGTAACAGAGCAAAAGACTGAATGACTGAAAATTATATGGACCGCAAGGGTTAGAGGTTTCTATGCTCTTCGTAAATGATACCAGTTAAAAAGTTCCAACAGATTCCACTCTTCATAAATATATATCCTCACATATATTTTATATTCTACATGTCTATGTTCCTGAACGGATTAAGACTCTAAAGCGAACTTTCCAGGTGAAGTTGGATGGTGAAAATGTCGAATTTGTAAACGTTATCAAGGACACAACTGAACTGGGCTCGGCTGATGGAGATAACTCAGTGCTGGATCTTCTAAAGGGAATTACACAGAAATTAAGTATCTGGAATACAGTGCGCCTAAATTCTGGGATTCTGAACGGATAAATTATTACGTTCACAAATGAATTACTAAACTGTAAAGTTTTGATAACAAAAAATGCGAATTCAATACGGTGAACATTTTCCATGACTTTCAATTCTAACAAAATATTCATAATTTGAAAAGGAAGCCAGGTAAAAAGTGATGTTCCTGTTATGAGAGCTAGT